GGAGAAGCAGACTCCCCGCTGAGCAGGGAGCCCGATGTGGGACTCGATCCCGGGACTCCAGGATCATGACCTGAGCCAAAGGCAGTCGCCTAACCAACTGAGCCAGCCAGGCGCCCCACAAACATTTTTGGAAATCCATTGCCTCTCTTCTGTGCTGACTGCTGAGACTTTAATCTCCACCCTGAGGTCAGCAGCTCTAAAACATCAACCTCTTGACCAGTCACCCTACAGCCCCCCTCCCTGCTCCCCGGCTTTGCCAGGCCTGACCCCGGCACCTCCCTGGTGAAGCCCATACTCAGTGTAGTGTCCGTTCTCCACCAGGCAGGGCCCCCCGCTCCTCCCGGCCCCCGCTCCAGCTTCCCACGAGTGGGCCCTGGCACTAGGTTGCTCTGTGTGCCTCCTTGCCAGATGCCCCCGCCTCCTCTCTACCTGATGGGTGACTACAGGGCGGTTGGAGGGGAATTTTCAACTCAGCAGACCTCATGCAAATCGTTTCCCATCTTTCCTGCCCACTTAGGAAGCTTGATCTGCCCAGCAGGGCTTTTGAAGCCGCCTCCGAAGGGGACTTTGAGCTGCAGGGGTATGCCTTTGAGGCCGCAGAGGAGCAGCTGAGACCACCTCGGACCGTGCGTGTGGGGCTTGTTCAGAACAGAACTCCCCTGCCTGCAGATGCCCCTGTGGCAAAACAGGTGCAGCCTCTTTTGACCATAAATACATAAACGGAGCAGTTGGCCCGCTCTGTGTTTTGAACACGTCCACAGTCCCCAGGTGGCCACTCACTGCAAATCCATAGGCACCACGAGTGGTCATCTAGATGCTTCTGCCCTGGCCACCCCCCTTCCCTGTAGCCCGCATCTCTGGCTCTTCTTTCTTGTCTGGCTCCTGCCCTCTCTTTGCCTTCTTGCTCCTCAGTTTTTCTCACCTTCCCCTCCACGTCCTCTCCTGCGATTGATCTGAAGTTCCATTTCTCAGTGGGGAGGGTGCCCTTTGTCTGGCTCAAGCTCTCTCTGGAACTCTGCCTCTCAGTCTTTTGCCAGAAGGGTACCTGCTAGCACACGCCGGTCAGGACCTGTCTGTCCATCCGTGATCCTGTGGGTGGGGACTCACCAAACTCAGATGTCTGTCAGCTGATGGTGCCTCAGGGTGCGGGAATATGATATGCATTCCCTAATGACCTTACGGTTAGTATAAATGTGACAGCATTCTTGTATGTCCCTAAAGAAATATGTTGTCACAGACACAGGCGATTTGTGGTCTACACTTCTTCACAGCATTCCTCTAGCTGCTCAAACTTTTAAGGCTTTCTCTGCAGAGGTTTCCTGGGGATACAGCATGCCTCAGAACTCCTAGGGATTCTCGAGAAAAGGTCAATTGGATTCCAGGTCAGGTTCTGCATCATCTTTCTCTTTGGTCCTTCTGCTTTTGTTGGATTAAAAGATTTCTGGTTCTCAGGTCACTTTTTGTCTCTGGATTAATTGACTGTGAGTATGTTTCCTCAACCATCCCAGATTGTCGGGGGCAGGGACACTGTTCTCACCCCCACGGCACCTAGGAGCACACTCGGCACACTGTCAGCACCTAGCAAATACCCATGGAGCCTTGGTGTGTAGTCTTGAAGGGGAGAGACAGCATCGTGAAGAGTTGTTGCTCTCTGGGTTTTCGGCCTGGTTCTTCGGGTCTTTCTCTGAACAGACGTTCCAAACATCTCCTGGGGGCCAGGCATTGTGCTGAGGACACCAAGAAGGTGAAGACAACTTTCCTCCTGCCCCTAAGGAGCTCGTGGGGTAATGGAGTGACAGACAGTGGGGAACACAACAGCACAATGGGAACAGCGCCACCATAGGGACCTACCAGGGCATGCTGAGGCACCTCTTGATGCTCAGCCTTTTGCTGGGAGAGTCACTCCTCTGTGGGTGACGTATGACATGAATAACACATCCAGGGAAGATTGGGTGGAGTGGGGAAGTTACATTCCTGAAGGAGGACACACCTGGAAAATGGGATCCATTCATTCAATGATAAGATACACACAGGAAAATGGAAGTGGCAGGACAAGTCATACCGGAAGCCTTGAGTACAGGATGGTAGAAAGTGGACTCTGTCCTGAGGCAAAAGGAGCAGTTAGCCCAGGGGATGGCCAAAGTGTGCACTGGGTGTGGTCCCCTCTTGCAGTAAATAGCAGATAAGCTTATACACTCCTCTGTGCAACCCTTTGGGGCAGATGATGTTCTCCCTATTCTCCAGGTGAAGAAACTGAGGCTCTGAAAGGCAGCATTGAGTGTGTGGGACCCTAGAGCCTCTGCACCTCCACCTTTTATTTATTTGTTTATTTAGAGCTTGCGGGGGAGGGGTAGTGGGCAGAGGAAGAGAATCTCAGGCAGACTCCACTGAGTGCAGAGCCTGACGCGGGGCTGGATCCCACAACTCTGAAATCATGACCAGAGCCAAAACCAAGAGTCAGAAGCTCAACTGACTCTTCCACCCAGGGCACCCCATGCACCTTCACCTTTTACTGCAGATTTTGGACTTTATTCGAGTAGGATGTATCAGAACCTCCCCACCTTCCTCACCCTCTTGCCGCTGCCTAGGTGGGGGGTTGTTCCTCGTCCTTGGGGATGAGTTCTGAAAATAGTCTCAACCAACAGAAGAGAGTAGGTTCTAATCCTTGCTTTTTGAATTGCCAGGTCACTGCGCTTCACAGACGCATAGAATCCATCGCAGAGGTGGCCGCTGTGTGCAGAGTGAACATCATCTGTTTCCAGGAAGCATGGAGTAAGTCTCTCCTGGGGCGCTTTCTCTGCTGCCTTCAGATAATAGTGTATTATCTCCATGTCACCAAGAGGACTACTTGACTTTTTAAAAAATCTCTTCTTCTCTCATCTATAGAAAGATTCTTTTGTCAACGACACCAGAAAGCCAGGAATCCTGGCCTCCACACTCCCCAGTCTGTTGTCTGGTCCTGCCAGTTCTTCTTCCCAAAGGGTCCTGAACCCATTCAGTTGCTCCTAACCACCTTCTCACCACTGCCCTGGCCCGAGGTGCCACCAGCTTACACCTGGCTTCTGTATTTGCTTCCAGCTGGTCTCCCTGCACTCTCCACTTTGGCCCCTTCTAACTGCTCTTCATGCCTTCTAGGAAAGATCTTTACAAAACTCAACTCTGTACTGCTTAGTCTGTTCCTTCCACCTCCTCTGCGGCCTCATCTCGGCTGGGCTCTCCTCTGACCTCCTGGATCCTTCACTGCCCTATGGCACCCTCTCCCTCCTCCCAGGCCACTGCAGCAGCTGCTCCCTCTGGCCTGGCCTTCATCCCCCTCGCCCTCCCCTCCCCCTCTCCTTGCCTTTTAGACCCCGTCTAGCCTTCAAATAGAAGCTCAGAGCCCACCTCCCTATCTCAAGGTATGTCCCTGTAACGTACCCCTGGTACCATATACCTTTATTTTCTTTTTATCAAAGTTCTACATGCTTGTGGTTGGGAGTCAAATGGTCTATAAGGTCTGTTACCAAAAACTAGCTGTCCTCCTCCCCAGAGGCAACCACCTTCTACTCTTGGCTGGTTCTTTGGGAATCTACCTTTGTGTTGCTGCTTCCTGATTGTTCAGTTTCATACCATCTATTAACTTCCCACTGTGGAAGAAGACAGCATTAGTCCCTTGCCTCCTCTGCCCACTCTGTTCACACATACCCTTCTTACCTTCCATCCATTCTCTGCCAAGCCATTTTGTAGACTTAGATTTCTTTTCCTGAATCACTTTCTGTTTTCCCCAGAATTTGCTTTGTTTTCTGTACACCTACCCCAAATTCTACCCCAAACTTATTTCCAGCTTCCTAAATCCTCTTGGGAGGTTTAGACGTGTGAAGCTGTCTGTTGGTTCCATCTCCTTTTTTTTCAATTGTAAGTTTTCATTTTAATTCCAGTTAGTTAACATACAGTGTTATGTTCGTTTCAGGTGTACAATATAGTGATTCAGCAGTTCCGTATATTACCCGGTGCTCATCACAAGTGCTCTTCTTAATCCCCATCAACTATTTCCCCCATACCCCCTACCTGGTTCCATCTCCTTGAAGGAGTAAGTCCCCAGAGCCTTCTGACTGCTCTAGTCTGATTAGTTGCCCCCTCTGCTGGCTGCACAGCTGTCATCCTGGGATTTCCCTTCACCATCATGCTGGGGAGTTCCTTTATCTTGCTCTTGTGTTTCTTCTATCCCCCATCTTCCTCTTTCTTGCTTTTCTCCCTCTTTTTGGTTGAGTAGTTTTCTGAGAAAGAACACATAGGAGGTAACCTTTTTGAGACCTTGCGTATCTGAAAATATGTTCCTCCTACAACTAGCTCGATAGTTTGGTTGGGTATTGAATTCTAGGTTAGAAATAATTTTCCTTCGGAAGTTTGAGCACATGGCTCCATTGTCTCCTGGCTTTGAGTGTTGTTGACTAGTCTAAAGCCCTTTTGACTGATGACCCATTGCATATGATCTGTTTCTTTTTCTCTAGAAGGTTGTAGAATTTTCTCTAATGCTTTGAAGTTTCATAATGATATGCCATTGTGTGTACCTGTTTTATTTTTTTCATTAAGTCATCAAATATTTATTAAGCATCTACTATATGCTGGGTGCCGCCATAGGTCCTTGAGATAGAGCAGCAAACCAAAAAGAGAGACACCTCTGCCCTTAGGGTGCTTCTTGTGGGGAGTGGGGAGACAGTACATAATGTGTGTGTATCTATTTTAATCCATTATTCCAGGAACTCATTGGGTTCCTCTAGGCTAGAAATCTGGGTCCTTCAGATCTACTGTTCATTAGTGATTTTCTCCCCTCTTTTTTCTTTCCTCTCTTCCTGATATTCCTACTATTAGGATGTTAGAACCCTGGGCTAGATCCCTAATTTTCTTAAGTATTTCCTCCTATTTTTCATCTTTGTCTTTTTGCTCAGTTTTCTGGTAGATTTTATCTTGATTTGCCATTCAGTCTTTTGTTTCTGCTGTCATATTTTGAATTTACAAGAGTTCTTTTGGTCTGTAAGTTCCTGTTTTATGACATCCTGTTCTTATTTTATAATCGCAGTACTTTCTCTTGTCTCTGAGGATGTTAGGTAGCATTTTTTTTTCTCCTTGCACGTTTCCTACTTACTCCAAATTGGTCTTTTTTCCCCAGCTGCTTATATTTTAAGAATTGGGGGTTAAAAAGCTGATTGCAAACTCTGAGTTTGTGGGAAGAGCTCCTTCCCACTGAGCTTCATGAGAGGGTGACTTGGTTTAGCTGTTTGTTAGCTATTCCTTCATAGTAGTGTCTTTGGGTCATTCTTTTCAGGCTGGTCAGAGTCCCCAGAGAAGATTCTTCTTACCTCCTGCCAAGAAGAGAAGGAGGATAGGGGTCCAGTGTGCCAATGTTTACTGAATGCCTCTGTTTTTGACACTCTACTCGTCTTCATCTGTCCTGGCTTCCCCAAGGCCAGAGGCCTTCTGTTTAAGCACCTCCAGAGAATGAGCCTCTAGCCTTCTGCTGGGGTGGGAGGGACTCATGGCAGCCTTGTGTAGTAGAGGAGGGATCTGGACTTCTGACTGCTTTTTAAGCAGACTTTTGACCAATTTTTGTTTGTTACCCCTCGCTGCTTCCCCACCTTCAGAGCCCAATGGTACCTCTGACTCCTCAACTTTCTAAGGGTGTATGGTGGAGAACAGTATATGGCTTCCTCTACTGCTGGAAGCCTGAATTTTCTGGGTCTATCTATCACAATATCTACCCTCATCCCTTGGCTCTCCAGCCTCCCGTATTCTGTTGCTGTTGTCCTTTTCTCAGTGCTTCATCCTCATGGGTTTGTACCTTTGCATAAAAGTCCCTTTACTGTCATTTGGTGCGGCTACAGAAAAGAGCAAAGGCGTGCATCCGGTCTGCCATCTGTACCCAGAAGTTCATCTCATTTTCCATGTTCCCAGTTACTTATACTTTCACTCATTTGGGCAACACTTTTGATTTGTCTGCCTCTTCCATTAGACCATAAACTCCATGAGGTCATTGTGTGGTGTTAGTTTATTTTTCCCATTCTAATTATCACCCCCTTTTTTAAAAAATTTTTTATTGTTATGTTAATCACCATACATTACATCATTAGTTTTAGATGTAGTGTTCCGTGATTCATTGTTTGTGCATAACACCCAG